TGTTGTTAACCAACATTCAATGTAGGGAACGGAAACATTTTAGGGAGGAAGATGATATGGGCAATTTGGGATATGTTTAGTTTGAGATGTCCAGCTGGGAGTTGAAAAGCCATGTGTGGAGCAGGAAGAAGTTCTAGGCTGGAGATAGAAATCAGCACTGGGATGATAACTGAAGCTATAGGCTTAAGGTCTACTGGATCAATGGCTTTCAGACTATTTTTTCTATAACCCACAGCAGAAATACATTTTATATCACAATCCTGTGTACACATATACACACCTATAAAAACATTCATTCAACAATATTTACCATGACTAAGTGTGATGGACTGTAAGAGCTTTCTATTGAATTTCAGTGTTTTTAAACGCTGGTCAGATGCACCGATTTGATTTCACAATCTACTAATCACTAATGGGTTGCAGCCTGTAGTTTAAAATACACTACCCTAGATTATAAGCTTCTTGTAGCCGGGACCACATCTTACACAATTTAGATTCCCCATGGCCTCTATGATAATGCCTTGTACATAATGAACTTTTGTGGAAGGAAATAAGGGGAAAAAGGAAGGAATGAAGTGAGGGAGGGAGAGAGAGACAAATTTTTCCAATACTCAACCTTAAAATGTTCTCCAAAACTACGGTGAAATCTTATCTCCTCCAATTCTACTGAACTTTCATATACACAGTTTCTATTTTTTTCCTTACATTTCCAAGGTTAATCAAACATGGGTCACAATGCCTCAGGGGAGATTTGGAGTTTTGCTTTTTCTCACCACCAACTCACTAAACCACACCTAGTGCTCCAACCATAGTCTTTTAGTTGGACTAGACTGGCCAAGCAAGACACTTATGTTACATGGTTGCAGCCCTCCTATGCAAAGGTTGTCACGCTGTATACCACAACAACTGCCCGGATTGGAGGAATATGGCAGCAGCAGTCAACACATGCACAGAGAAGAGGCAGTAGAAGCCGTAAGAAAATAGAAGCTATGAGCAAGCTGAAGACAAGAGGAAGAGAGGACAGGATGGAGAATGGTTGGTAGCGGCAGAAGCAGAGAGTAGTTGGGAAACTGAAAGAGCAGAGCACTAGAAATAGGTATAGTCGCCAACTTCTGTTCATAGGGACAAGATACCCAAGTAAGCTGTGATGAATACTACGTTATCTTTCCCGATGACATTGCATCATTCCCCTGATGACATTGCATCCTCTGTGAGGACCAGCTTTTCATAGATTCTTCTTTCTCCACAAGGCCCGTATATCATAAATTAAATTTCTCCCTTGCTTCCTTCCTTTCTCTTGTACTTAAACAAAAATTAAGTTACAGAAAAGTTGCAAAGTTGCAAGAATATTGCAAAGTACTCATACCCTTTACCCAGATTCACCAATTTTTAACATTTTGCCACATTTCCTTTCTCTTTCTCGTTTTTTTGCTGAAGCATTTGAGACTAGGATGCATGTATCACCTTTTCTCTTAATATTTCAGTGTGTATTTCCTTAGATATTTTCTTACACAGTCATGGTACACAGCTCCAATTCAGGAAATTTTACATTGATATAATACTTCAAAGTTAAACCCCACATTTCTACACCAATGTTCATAGCAGCAATATTCACAACAGCCAAAAGGTAGAAACAACCCAAATGTTCATCAACAGATGACTGAATGAACAAAATGTGGCCAGGTGCAGTGGCTCACGCCTGTAATCCCAGCACTTTGGGAGGCCGAGGCAGGCAGATCACCTGAGGTCAGGAGTTCAAAACTAGCCTGGCCAACATGGTGAAACCCCATCTCTACTAAAAATACAAAAATGAGCCAGGTGTGATGGCGAGCACCTGTAATCCCAGCTACTCAGGAGGCTGAGGCAGGAGAATCACTTGAACCTGGGAGGTGGAGGTTGCAGTGAGCCATGATCATGCCACTGCACTCCAGCCTGGATGACAGAGTGAGATTTCATCTCAAAAAAAAAAAAAAAAAAGTGATACGTACATAGAATGGAAAATGATTCAGCCTTAAAAAGGAATGGAATTCTGGCACAAGCTATAACATAAAGAGACCTTGAAAATATTACGCTAAGTGAAATAAACTGGATATAAAAGGACAAATACTATATGATTTCACCTACATGAGATACCTAGAATAGGCAAACTCCTAGAGACAGAAAGTAGAATGGTGGTGACCAGGAGCTGGGAGGAGGAGAAAATGGGGAGTTATTATTTGACAGGTATAGAGTTCATGTATGGAAAGATGAAAACGTTCTAGAGATGGATGGTGATGATGGTTGTACAATATTGTGAATGCATTTAATGCCACTGAGCTGTACATCTACAAATAGTTAAAATGGTAAGTTTTATCTTTTGTATACTTCACCATATATTAAGTTGATATTCTAATTCTGTGAATTATCCCAATAATGTACTTGTAGCGTGGTTTTTTTTTTTCACTCCAATCCATGATCCAGTCCAGGATCACATGTTTTACATATTGCATTTAATGATTATGTCTCCTCAGCAGGGTGATCAAGTCATCAATTCAGAATAACCCTGTTTGCCCAGACCTTCTCCAGTTTAGCACTGAAAGTCCTGCATCCTGGGAAACTACTCAGTCCTAGGTGAACGGGTGAAGAGTTGGTCATGCTACTCTTCAGTCTCCTTTAATCTGGAACTGTTGCTCAGCCTTTCAATGTTATGTCTTTCATAACATTGCCATTTTTAAAGAAATCAAGTCAGATACTTTACTGACCATCCCTCAACTTGATATTACCTGATATTCTCCCAGGTTATGCATTTCTGGTTGGAATACTACATTAGTGATGTTGTGTCCTTTTTGAAGTATCACAACTGGAGGCACAAATGTCCATCTGTCCTGCATTGGTAATGTTAATTTTGATCATGATCAAGGTGTGGTCTAGTTTCATAATCATGTGCTTATTATTTCCTTTCCACATATGTGCTTATAATAAACTTCTGTTACAGTATATGTGTTCCTTGCTACCTGAAAGAGCCTAAGCAGAAGCTCAATATATTATAGGAATCATTGCACTTGACAAAAGAAAGCATTTCAAAATCCCTTTTCCATTGTCATTGCAGAGTATAATAAATCACTGCATTCCTCATCTCTTCTGTCCTTGGCTACTTTAGGTTTTGAGGTGACAGAATTTTCAAAACGTATATATTTCTATATAATTCTTTTATTAAAAAATCACATTATTGGTGGAAAAAAGCATGGCTTTCTGTTTAAATAATGTGTCTTCACATTTATTCTCTAAGTGAAGACTATTGTCTGGGGAAAACACACCATGTGTAGCAAGAACCTTTACACTTTTTAACTGACAGCCGCAACTGCCATCAGCGTTTGTTGTATATTTAGTTATCGTATAGATCAGTTCAAAGGAACACATTTTCTTTATTAATTAGTCAGGTAACCAGTTGATACGGTTTGGCTGTGTCCCCATTCAAATCTCAACTTCGATTGCATCTCCCAGAATCTCCCAGTGTTGTGGGAGGGACTCCGGGGGAGGTAATTGAATCATGGGGGCTGGTCTTTCCCGTGCTATTCTCTTGATAGTGAATAAGTCTCACGAGATCTGATGGGTTTATCAGGGGCTTCCGCTTTTGCTGCTTGCTCATTTCTGTGTTGCTGCCGCGGTGGAAGAAGTGCGTTTCACCCCGCGCCGTGATTCTGAGGCCTCCCCAGCCATGTGGAACTGTAAGTCCAGTTAAACCTCTTTTTGTTCCCAGTTTTGGGTATGTCTTTATTAGCAGCATGAAAACGAACTACTAATACACCAGTGAACTCTCCAAGTTCACTAATAGTCTTTGAAAGTGGGACTTTGGAGGTAGAAGATAAGCAATGGTCTCTGGCCTGTTTGAAAGATGCAGAAGCCTTCAGACAATGGGCACGCTGTGCCCCAGGACCTAACCATAGCCTTTGGCACCTACTAACATGCCACCTAATCTATTTATTTATTAGGTTTACTATTCGTTTTCTGCCTCTCTCTGCTAGAATGAAGAAAGTTTCAAGAAACCAGGGACCTTTGTTTTTAAGATCAGACAGTATGCATGCCCTATATCGTACACTCAACTAAGATATGTTAAATGAACTTGTTATGAATGTAATTAATGCCACTGACTTGTATGCTTAAAAATTATTAAAATAGGAAATGCTATGATATGCATATTTTACCACACACAAAATAAGTTTATAAAAGCCACAGTCATCTAACATGGGCTAGTCCTGGATTGTTGCTGTATTTGAAATAACTTAGTAGATCTACTCTACTAAGGAAATGGCCCAGACCAATTTCTCACCCAAAGAACTGATGGAGGATCAGTCAATTTCAAAGCCCGTTGATTCAAGTGTTGTTGAAGTTTTTAGTTTTTGGTGGAGAGATGAAGGGAAGTAGCCCCTTTGGTTTTAACCTTTCCTGCCATGATTTTCCCCATAGGTATTCTTACTCTTACTTCCACAGAGATTTAAAAAGTGGATTTCATGCAGTTGAGCTCAATTTTTTTTTCTTTTAAAAAAGAGATTTAAATAGTGGAGTCATCAGCCAAGTGCAGTGGCTCATGCCTGTAATCCCAGGAATCCCAGCACTTTGGGAGGCCAAGGTGGGCAGATCACTTAAAGTCAGAAGTTAAAGACCAGCCTGGCCAACGTGGCAAAACCCCATCTCCACTAAAAATAGAAAAATTAGCCGGGCATGGTGGTGCAGGCCTGTAATTCCAGCTATTCGGGAGGCTGATGTGGGAGAAGTGCTTGAACCCAGGAGGCGCAGGTTGCAGTGAGCCGAGATCATGCCACTGAGCTTTAGCCTGGGCAACAGTGTGAGATCCATCTCAAAAAAAAAAAAGAAGAAGAAGAAGAAGAAAGAGAGAAAGATTGAGAGAGGGAGGGAGGGAGGAAGGGAGGAAGGGAGGAAGGAAGGAAGGAGGAAGGAAGGAAGGAAGGAGGGAGGAAGGAAGGAAGGAAGGAAGGAAGGAGGGAGGGAAGGAAGGAAGGAAGGAAGGAAGGAAGGAAGGAAGGAAGGAAGGAAGGAAGGAAGGAAGGGGAGAGACAGAAACTGCCCTTTGGGTAGCATGGCATGTGCCGCTTCTCCTGTTCTCAGTCAGATCCTCCTCCCTCCATGTAAAGAGTCTATTCTTACCACTGCTGACATCTAAAGAGCACAGAAACAAGAATCACAGCTTAGAGAAGTTGTAACAAGGGAAGACAGAAGATTGTCTACTTTGGGGAGTTTTCTGCTTTAGTGTTCACAAAACATTTCATAATCTGCAGATAAATGTGCAGGCTCTGCAAAATACAACATGCAAATAGTTCTTGGTAAAATCTATGGATCAAAGCTATTTCTCTTTGCCCTTCAAATGATCTAGTTTGCTTTTTAAATATTTGAACATTTTCCTACAAGTTTTGACAATGACACAAGTTTAAACACACCATGCCCTTTATAAATAGATCCTGACCTGAAAAAGCTTCCACCCTGACTCTGACTCTTGTCTGAGGTTTGAGAGGAAAAGAGAGATTTAAAGGGAAGCTAATTAAGACAAATCTTCTAAAACATATGTGAGGCTACGAATATATTGAGTGCTTAATTAAAAAACAGTGTTCTATTGGGTTTAATACCTAAATCAATGAAGTCTTATCAGTTGAGGAAATAGTCACAAAAGAGGTTGTGTAAATGGCAGAATTGATGAGTGCTACAGTTCACAAATTTTCTACCATCCGTTCAGATTTGGATTCAAATGAAGATTCAACTAACAGGTATTGAACATCTGCTTTGTGTCGTGTTCTGTGAAAATACTGCAGTCTTCTTGAGGCAAATATTTTGGTTCTCAGCTAAGAAATTTTCTTTTTTCTTATTCTCTCTCTTTTCTTTTTCTTTTTTTCTTTCTTTTTTTTTGGTTGTAGTGTTGGTGGTGTTGAATAACAGGAACAAGAGGTCATTCTTACTTTGTTTTAGTACTGCTTTTTCAAAGACTCAGATACTTTCAGGATTTGTCTAACAAATAGAAAAAGTGTGTTTTTGTTGAAAACCACAAAGTTAATTCTAACAACTCGAAGCCAATATTTTTATGAGGATATTTTATTATAACTGTATATTTTAGTTGTAGTGCACCGTTGTATTTAGTTTATTTGTATGTTTTGATTCTGTATTGAAACATAAATTCTGGGTTTGAGTTAAAATGGTCACAGAAATGAGCAGAAAAATTATAAAGGAAGTCAGGATGAGAAATACCTAGTGGGGATTAGGCTCTTAGAAAAATGGAATATCTCATTTACTCCCTCACATCTAACAAGCTCAAGGTACATTTTCTAACTCTCACTTTTGTAAAAAAGTGCCAACGAGCACAATGGCTATTTTCACATCATCCCAGAACATGACACTGATAGATGTTAGTGCCCTCTTGTTTTCAATTTTCATTCTAGGGAAAACATTTTAGTAGAAAACATTTGGAATAGGGTACCATTTAAAAAGCATCATACTAAATAGCACGTTAAGGTCATTTCTATATGGCCTTTTAAATAATACAACCCCACTCAAAAAAATTTACGTAGATTCCCATATGTGTAGGGACTATTATATTGTTGTAGTTCTCACTCCAGTGGCTGTAATAAATAACTGTTACATTGTTAAAATTGAGTACTGCCTCTGAAGGTATAGCTGAATAGGTAAATTTTGGGAGAAGATAAATGATTCTGTGTATAGGGACCGTAAGAAGTATGAATTTACCCGAGAACATGGGATCTGCGGCATGAAAGTCTGAACTCTAGAATCCATTCTAACATTTACTAATTGTATGACCTTGAGGAAATTCATTTTAAATTTGTAAAACAGGCATAAAATATTACTTGCCTTCTAGGAATATTATGATGTTTTCAGAATAGTGTAAAGAAAAACATTTTTTAGAGCTAAGAACCATTAGTAAATTAGTTATAATAATACATGCTTTTAATACAATTGTTTTGGTTTTCATATACGTATATATTTTTTTGTTTTTTGTTTTTTTGAGATGAACTCTTGCCCTTGTCCCCCAGGTTGGAATGCAATGGCACAATCTCAGCTCACTGCAACCTCTGCCTCCTGGGTTCAAGCGATTCTCTTGCCTCAGCCTCCCGAGTACCTGGGATTACAGGCGTTTGCCACCACACCGGGCTAATTTTTGTATGTTTAGTAGAGATGGGGTTTCACCATGTTGGCCAGGCTGGTCTTGAACTCCTGACCTCAGGTGATCTGCCCACCTCAGCCTCCCAGAGTGCTGGGATTACAAGCATGAGCCACTGTGCCCAGCCGCCTCATTTGTATTTTTTAAATCTAAAAATCAGTTTGGCCAGGTGAAGTGGCTCATGCCTGTAATCCCAGCACTTTGGGAGGCCAAGGCAGGTGGATCACAAGGTCAGGAGTTTGAGACCAGCCTGGCCAACATAGTGAAACCCTGTCTTACTAAAAATACAAAAAATTAGCCAGGCGTGGTGGTGCATGTCTGTAGTCCCAGCTACTCGGGAGGCTGAGTCAGCAAAATCGCTTGGACCTGGGAGGCAGATGTTGCAGTGAGCTGAGATCGTGCCGTTGCACTCCAGCCTGGGCGACAGTGGGAGACTCAGTCTCAAAAAAATAATCAATTTGTAGAATGATGCCAGCAAAATGGTTGAATAGGAGGTCCCTGCTCATATCCCCCCATAGCAACAATAATTTGGCAGCCATCCACAGACAAAAGTGTCTTTGTGAGAGCTTTGGGATCTACGTAGGAGGTTGCTCAGGTGGAGCCCAAGACCTAGGTAAGCCATTTTAAGAAGGCAGGCCCATGTCCAGGTGGAAGATTCACTGACCATGATCCTCGTTATAAACCCAGAAATAGCCCCATCTGCCAATGGACTGAGATACAGCCCTATTTGGCCTAGGTCCTCCCCACCAGCACCATCCATCAAGGGACTTAGGAGGAGACACCCCTGCCCATGCCTCAGATAACAGGCTGGCTGACCTGGGTCCTGACTATGAACCCTAAAGCAGTCCATGACCCAGCTTCAGTCCCTCTCAGCCATTGTTCAGGAGCTGTCTTTCCAGGGCAGTCCCCCTGGAGGCAGTCCCACTGACTTCAATTCAACTGCAGGTCCTGAAGCAGCCCTGTGACCCAGCTCCAGCCTGCTTTGGGGATTAGTTATTGGATCTTTATTAGTTTCCTTTGATGGTGTCATTTTGCCTGTTTCTTCATGATTCATGTAGCCTTGCATTTATATCTGCGCGTTTGAAGGTGCAGTCACTTCTGCCAGTAAAAGCAGATAAAGACTTTCTCTTGTCAAGTCCCTAGATAGATTAGACCTCAGTCACAGCTGTGGATCCTGAAACAGCCATGTGACTCAGTTCCAGCCCCTCTCAGCTAACATTTGGAGCCATCACCGCCTGTCTAGGGACCCATCCCAGTGACCTAGTAGGAGTCCTACCAGAGACCTGAAGGGAGCCACACGTATCTATTCACCTAGTAACAGGCTCTCTGTCTGAGGATCCAACTGTAGACCCTTGAGGAGACACTTCGGACCAGAGCCAATTAGAGGAATAAAAAGGAAAAAAAAATTTAAAAAGTGACAAAAGAATATAAGACACATGAGACACCATTGAATAAATGTGTGCATTATGCAAGTCCCAGAAGAAGAGAAAAAGAGAAAGGAGTAGAAATCTTATTTAAAACAATAGTGGCTGAAAAGTTCCCAAATCTTGGGAGGGAAGTGGATATCAAGACTCGTGAAAGCTCAAAATTCCCAAGCAAGATCAATCCAAAGAAGGCTAGTCCAAGACACATGGTCAAATCATCAAAAATCAAACACAGAGAAAATTTTGAAAGCAGCAAGAGAAACTCTTCACATACAAGGGACCTCAATTAGGCTATCCTAGATTTCTCAGCAGATATATTCAAAATGCTTAAAAAAACAAAAACGAAATAAAATGAAAAAAAAAAAAACCCTGCCAACCAAAATACTAATCCCAGAAAAGCCATCCTTTAACAAAAAATGCTAAAGGGAGTTCTGCAAGTTGAAACAAAAGGATGCTAAGTAGCAACATAAAAATATATGAAAGCACAAAAGTCACTGGTAAAGGTAAATACATAGTCAAGTTCAGAATACTCTAATACTATAATAGCAGTAGGTAAATCATTTTCACTTCTAGTATAAAAGTTAAAAGACAAAAATATAGCCAGGCACAGTGGCTCATGCCTGTAATCTCAGCACTTTGGGAGGCCGAGGCAGGCAGATCACCTGAGGTCAGGAGTTCAAGACTAGCCTGGCCAACATGGTGAAACCCCATCTCTACTAAAAATACAAAAAATTAGTCAGGCATGGCAGCACATGCCTGTAATCCCAGCTACTCAGGAGGCTGAGGCCCGAGAATCACTTGAACTCGGGAGGCAGAGGTTGTAGTGAGCCAAGATCGCACCACTGCACTCCAGCCTGGGCAACAAGAGTGAAAATCTGACTCAGAAAAAAAAAAAAGACAAAAATATTTAAAATAACTATAGTTATAATAATTTGTTAATAGACACAATAAAATGATGTTAAATGTGACATCAGCAGCATAAAATGCAAGGTGGAAGAGAAGTAAAAATGTAAAGTATTTGTATGCAATTGAAGTTAATTTGTTATCAGGTTAAAATAGACCATTATAACTATAAAATATTTTATGTAATCCTCATGGCAACCAAAAAGAAAAAAATCTAGCAGATACATAATGGATAAAAGGGTACAAAATCAAAACATAGCACTACCAAAAAATTAAATCACAAAGAAAGACAATAAGAGAGAAAGGAAGAAACAAAGGAATTACAAAGCTGTCAGAAAACAATTAACAAATGGCAATAGTAAGTCTTTACCTATCAAGAATTACTTTAAATATAAATGGTTTAAATTCTGCAATCAAAAGACACAGAGTGGTTGAATAGATTTTAAAAATAAAACAAGGCCAGGCGCAATGGCTTACGGCTGTAATCCTAGCACTTTGGTAGGCCAAGGCGGGCGGATAACCTGAAGTCAGGAGTTCGAGACTAGCCTGACCAACATGGAGAAACCCCATCTCTACTAAAAGTACAAAGTTAGTTGGGTGTGGTGGTGCATGCCTGTAATCCCAGCTACTCAGGAGACTGAGGCAGGAGAATGGATTGAACCTGGGAGGCGGAGGTTGCAGTGAGCTGAGATCGCGCCATTGTACTCCAGCCTGGGCAACAAGAGCAAACTCCATCTCAAAAAATAAAAAATTAAGAAAATTAAAAAATAAAACAAGATCGAATAATATACTGACTATAGTAGACTCACTTTAGCCTACATAGGCTAAAAGTGAATGGATGGGAACATATATTCTTTGCAAATAGTAACCACAGGAGAGCAGAAGTGGCTATATTTATATCAGCCAAAACAGACTTTCAGTCAAAATCTGTCACAAGAAACCAAGAAGGTCATTATACTATGATAAAGGAGTCAATTCATCAAGAGAATATAAAAGTTACAAATATATATGCACCCAATGTCAGAGAAACTAAACATATAAAGGAAATATTAACAAGACTAAAGAGAAAAATAGCAATACAATAATAGGAGAATTCAATATGCCGCTTTTTTTTTTTTTTTTTAATTTTGAGACAGAGTCTTGTTCTGTCACCCAGGCTGGAGTGTAGTGGCGCGATCTCAGCTCACTACAAACTCGGCCTCCTGAATTCAAGTGATTCTCATGCCTCAGCCTCCTGAGTAGCTGGGATTACAGAATTGTGCCAGCATGC